CAAAGTTATCATATCTTTTATTAAGTTAACCTATCTATAATCATGAGGTATAGCTTGGATATTTAATATTAATATTCATTATACACCAGGTTGATTAAAGAAGAAGATAGATGCTTAGAAAATGAATTGCAAACTATAAGTTCTTTACTTTAAATACATCGTTTAAAGACAGTATTTAATATAAAATAAATATTTACTTTCTAAGTGTTAGGCTTATTTTATGTACAACCACTCTTTTCACAAATCACAATTATGTTAATTTACTTAAACTTCCAACAATTAATTTTGATTAGCTTATTATAAAAATATTTAAGGTGTATGAGTCTGATTGATATATGTTTTTCTTAACCGCACATATCAGCGCCTTTTTTCCTTACCTCATGTCGACTAGAGAGGACATTGAGGAGTTCGAAGAACAATTGAGACTCCAAAAAACTCCCGTTAATGAAGATTCAGTCACTCGGACGAGGGTCGATTCTGATGGTACTGAAATGGAATGGGATGAGAAACGTAAAGCTTGGTTTCCCAAGGTTGTTTTATTGTATTACATTATATTGAATTAGATTGATGATGATTTTATTGCCAGGTATCAAATGAATTATGGATTCAAAAATGATTCTGCAGAACCGGATCCTACTCAATCGCTTGTATTGGGAGATGCTTGGTCTGTCCATGCACGGAGATTAGAGGAGCTTCGTCGGGAGAGAGGTGAATCGGACAAGGAAGTTTTAGCTTTACAGAAAGCAAGCGAAGAATCCCTAGCAGCATATTATTCCTCTCCGGCATACAAAGCCTGGTATTCAATGTACATTAAGGTGAAGGGAGACGGAACAGCCAGTTGTGACAACCAGGTAAAATCTCGGAACGCTTGCTTTAATTGTTTACGACCAAGTTTATCCCATCACCAGCCTCGATTGATCTACATATTTCACTTCTCACACAAAAATTTTACATTGAGTAAGGGGTGTCTTTGCAAATGTTGCCCTAATAAATAGTTATATTTTAGTATCCACTCCACGAATAATCTGTTTACATCCTTTATTTCTTCGTTTTTCATGAGTTTTTATTATATTCGCTTATTTACTTATGTGCGTGTCAATTGTTCCAGATTCCCTATTAATTGGCTGGTTTATTATGAATCGCGAATATTAAATTTTAAATACTCTATTGAGCTGCTCATTATATTGACATGAACACTGATCAAAGGGTATCATGTGTTTTATAAAATAATATTTCATGAATACTCAAATTGTATTTGTTATAAGCATGATAGCTTACGTCTGAAATTTCTTGTTCAGCGCTTTTATTTTATTATTTAACATATTTCAGGTTGGCATATTGTAATTGTTCATG